AAAGATGAGTCACAGCGGTAATGACTGCACCCTCTGCTGCAGATCACACACAGCATCGCATGCAAGCGCCGCACACCCCAAGAAACAACACATGATTCCTGCACAGCAGAGCGCGCACAGTCACTCACACACACATACACACACACACAAGCACACACACACACACACACACACACACACACACACACACACACACACTGATGTGTCCCTAAAATAAGACACATCAAGTGCAAATGTATCAATTATGCAAGGTAATACAGATGCTGGTTAATTTTTTTTCTAAATGTAATAGCATGCACCATCACTTTAGCTATGAATTAAATCTGTTGGGTGATGATCTCTGCTCTGAACAAAAAGTGAAAGCAGCCAACCATGTGAGCTTTTTTGTGCAACCAAGTCAAAACCAACTGTTGGTAACCACTTCATCACGCAAATCTTGGTCATATTAATTCACCAGCTGTTTGTCAGCTAGAAATAGAAAATGAAGGAATACACAACCCAGCCACTTTATTAGGTACACCGCAGAAGTACTGGATCGGACGCACTTTTAGCTTCATGACAGATCCACCAAGGTGCTTTTGCTCCATACTGACATGATACCATCACACAACTGCTGTAGATTTGTGAGTTAGACATCAAGAATGTCAATCTCTTGTTCCACCATATCCCAAAGGTGTTCTATTGAATACAGGTCTGCAGACTGTGGAGTACAGTGAACTTGCTTTCATGTTCAATTAAGCAGTTGAATATGAGCTGAGCTTTGTGACATGGTGTATTATCCTGGTGGAAGCAGCCATCAGAAGATGAGTACCCTGGGGATGAATAGATGAACAGCAACAATACTCAAGTAGGCTGTGGTGTTTAAACAATTGGTAACAGTTGCTAATAAGGGCCTAAAGTTGCCAAGAAAACATCCACCACACTGTTATACCACCACCACCAGCCTAAACCATTGACACAAGGCAGGATGATCTAGTTATTGATACCATTAATACAAAAAGGAGGAGAAAAAAAAAAAAGAAGGAAAGCGGGGGGGGGGGGAAGAAAAGGAAGGAAAGAAAAAAAGGAAGAAAAGAAGAAAAAAAAAAGAAAAAAAAAGATCAAAGCCATCAGGTCTGTTTAGAAAAGCAGACAAAAGAAGAGGAGAAACGAGCAAAAGATGAATGTAAGAAGATGTGTCTTTGGATAACTGCAGGTATTATGTATCCCGAAACAAGATAACATTCATTAGTAGGAATAGTGAAAACTTCTGTTAACCTTAGTTAGCCACTTGGCTATGATAGTAAACAGTAGACACTGATGTGGCTTATTGAATCTTTTGGACTGTGTTCAGCCCAATATTAATTAGCCATTTATTGGAAGAGGTATATCATTGATTTGTCTGCTATTCTCAATGTATGATGAATTATATTGGCTGTTTGTTAGCCATTTGCATACTCTCTCTCTCTCTCTCACACACACTATATAAAATATTTATCTGGTTAAATTCAGTATGGTTCTGACAACAGGATTCACAATAAAATATCAGAATAAGCAGAGGGTGTGTTCACCCAGGGCACCAAACAGGCTAGGACCGCCCCTGTTGGTAACTAACCTTTTTTTTTAACTTGCTTTTCTGTTTATTGACCAACAGCTGAGTTTTGTTGTTTTCTTCCTTTAAAAGGTGATAGCAGCTTGTCCATCTCTTTTAGTTCGGTTATTATTAGAAACATTAATAAAACCCGTTGAGCATTTTGCCTCCCTGTCTCCTTTTTTCCCCCAACTTTGACACCTTTTGTTACTTTCCCCCTCATCCCCTGGACCTTTTTAGGGGAACATAACAGACTGTTTTCTCACCATTTGTTGGAGTTGTGTCCTGAGGATCTGGAGTTTGCAGCGGCGTCTCTGTTGTTGAGGTTTTAGCAAAGTTTTGATCTAAAAGACAAAACAGTCAAAAAAAAAAATTAAAATACAAATCAGAGTCTTTGACTTTTCAACCCCAAACATCACCAAAACAAATCTTCTCACCGACTACAAGTTCAACAACAGCAGCTTTCACTCGGCTCTGCAGCTTGGGGATGAAACATCTGTATCTGCCGTTGTCTTCCTCCGACACGTTCAGGATCTTCAGTGAAATGTTCCCGTGTTTCATGTCGTCCATGAACAGCTCCGTCCTCCTGAAGTACGAGGCCATCTTCATGTCGGGGACCTCCTTTCCATGTCTGTACAGGTGAACGTACTCATCTGACGGGTCGGGCTTCAGGTCGGGTTTGGACCACTCCACCGTCAGACCCTGGACATCGAACGTGGGCTCCAGGTGACACGGCAGGATGACATCATCACCCGGAGCAGCGATGATTGGAAGATTTGAACCAATCACCACAACCTCACCTGGAAACAGACAAAAAGTTAAACGTCCTGAAATCATTTCAGTAGCTAGCCAGCTGATTGGAGACCAAAACAGCCAACCAGAAATTTTGCATCCAAATCTATGATTGGTTGGTTTGTGGAGCATTTATAACGTGTACAGAAAGAGTTGAGCGTGCAGGGAACATAGATGTTGAGAGCGGGAAGGACACACTGAGACCAGGTCCACAAATGTCTGTCAGCAAATGCCAACAACTAAGTGAGAGGGGCTGTTACTGTGTGTGTAATAGCAAACATTGAAATACATTATTTGCACGCAGAAATGAATTTTGTTCACTCAAAAATAATTGTCTCCTCAAAATGCAACACTTGCACTCATGCGCTCAGAATAGAGGGACAAGCTTTAAGCTTCTTCCGGTTTTAAAGTAACTCACTGACAGCTGTCACACTGTTAGTGACTGTTAGACATGATCGATGATTAAAAATTCCGTTTTCTGACTGAAGAAAGTTTTCTGGAAAGCTGCAGTCCGATCAGTCCCTGACTGCTTCGCTCTGAATGGATGACCTGTGAGGCTCACTCGCTCTTTATATAAAAGAGACTCCGCCTACTGCATTCAGGGTGGGGTTAGATGCTTATGAAGTCCCCCTGAATACGTAAGGGAAAATCTCAATGTGACGCTTGCGTGCCTGTCATGCTTTTCTTTTCTTTTCTTTTTTTCGTTTCAAATATCTTTTATTAGAAGCAAGTATCACAGTTATTACAAGTTAATAGAACATATGCCCCCCCCCCGTTTCCCTAAACAAAACAAGGCAAAACAACATTGCCATTCATGGTATATCTTATTTTTTCAAGGTGAAGTGCAGGAACCTTTTTGCCTTTCCAAAGCTGCAGGATCAGTTTCTTTGCAATGATCAGTGCATATGACATAAGACTTTTTTGAACATGTTGTAAAGCTTTGTGTTTCTTTAAAGATCCCAAAGGTAATTACTGTTGGATTTAGATCAATCTTGACTTTAAGAATATTAGACAGAAAGGTAAAGATGTTACACTCAAAACTCTGAAGCCTTGGACGAAGTGCAAGACTATGTAACAGATTTCCATAATGTGTCATACATTTTTCACAGAAGGGAGAGCAGTCTGGATAAATTTTGTGAATTCCTTCCCTTGAGTAATGTAACCTGTGTACAATTTTATACTGAATTAGGTAATGACAGGAATTGATAAAAAGCGTATTTTTGTTGCATAAGACCTCCTGCCTGTCGTGCTTTAATGCACCACCTAAATTACTTTGTATTTGAATTATTTCTGTAGAAACTCCAACTCTCAGCTTCATGTAACTAATTCTGCTCTGTCTTACTTTCTGTTCAGAACTGAAGACTCAGACATTATAATGTGTCTGACTGATGACAAATAAAAACAAGCTAAGCTGTCAGGTGAAGTAGGTGACTCTGAACTTTCATAATGGAGAAACATGAAATGCATTAATGACACAACACAAACATGCTGTGTCATTAATGACTCAGACTGAGAACTAGTCTAGTCTGTGCTTGACTGGAAGCAGATGACATTCAATAGGGATAAACACTCACTCTCACTTCCTCTTCCAGGACACGCATTTAGCACAGAATGGGCGTAGCTCTGCTGAGAACTAATGTCACTGCAGGCGGCCTGGACAATCCTGGATTATTATAGTGAAATCAACTTCAGTGTTTTTATTGTAACACCTCGACTGGTTTACCTATATCTTGTCTCTGACATTTGCCCTGTATACAACAATAAATTAAAATAATTAAAACAAATAAAAGTAGCACTTAACCAATAAAAATGAAACATTTTTAAACAATAAAAACTAAGTTGAAATAAGAAAATCTGCTCTGGATATGAACTGTAACTAAAATGAAATAAAAAAAACAATGCAGAAAAAAATGAGGTTTTTTTGTAACTTTGCCCTAAGGCAGAGCCAACAGTGTTGCCTCTGCTGGACCGCAAATCCTGCTTAAGACAACACGTGTAATCAGTTTGTCTAAAATAAAGACGTGCTTCATCTCTTATCAGTTCAGCAGCTTTTTCTAATAGGAACTTATCTGATTTGAAACAGACAGAGGTGATTTAAAGTAGGAAGCAGTGGGCGTTGCTGTGATAGTGGAAGAATATGAGAATGGAAGTGATACCATTTCCATAAGATCCTCCACACTCACAGTGCAGCTTTGTTTTAAGATCTACTGATGTAAGAGAACATGAGTTATATGGCGACGACCATGGTTCAGGGGGTTGGGAAGCTCGTCTTTTAACCAGAAGGTTGCCAGTTCGATCCCCAGCTCTGTCTGTCTTGGTCATTGTATCCTTGGGCAAGACACTTCACCTACTGGTGATGGCCAGAGGGGCCAAAGGCGCGATATGGCAGCCTTGCTTCTGTCAGTCTGTGGCTACAACTGTAGCTTGCCTCCACCAGTGTGTGAATGTGAGAGTGAATGAATAGTGAAATTCTATAGTGCTATTGAATTGAAAAGCGATATATAAATGCAATCCATTATTATTATATGGGTGTAGAGCGGAGTCATGTCAACAGTTCAACAAATTTTGGCTACATCTGAAACCATTAGGTCAACTTAATGATTTATTAGTGAAGGTTTAACCAAAAGCCTCATAACTTCTTTAATCATGTCTGCAAATCTAATCACAGGGATGCAGGGCTCCTTCAAACAATAGCCACACATCATACTGATGTTTATTTAGTTTATTTCTCGCTCTCATCTTCTTCAGAGACTGTGGAAACAGAAGAAAAAACTTCTGTTCAGACCCAAATTGCCATGGTTGTCCTCTCAGCTAAACTATGGTCATGTGACCATTAGAAACTCTACCTTAGACAAACTTTACAGCACTTTACACCTGTAACAAAACCCTTATTTTGCCACATATTTTAGACAAGTTTTAATCAATTATACCTTTTTTTATTATCTTATCCAATAAATCTTAACATTTTCCAACAAATAAATGAGCTAATTTAAACATGAATCTATCACAGAAACATAAAAAACAAACACCTTTATTTAACTGTCTCAGGGACAGTCACACTGTCCATTTACTGTAATCAACAGTAGACCGTCAGAGGTTGAGGATTAGTACATATATATTGTTATGTTAACTCAGCTCTGTAGAGTATCTGCAGCATCTTAGACCAGTTCTAACTTGTGAACAATGCACAGAATGATGGTTAGATTAGAGTTGAGTTTTTACACAACAGTGTCTCTGCTCCTCTCGATCAGCTGCCAACAAAGAGACTTCAGAGACGCCTTCATAGCCACGGGATGTTGCAGACAGCAGCTCCAGTGTTGAGCTGCAGTTTAACAAGTAGAAAGAAGCAGGACAGCTCACCTTTGTAGGGAATACTGAAGTCAACAATCAGGCAAGTGTTTGATACAGTATGAATATTTCTGGATTTTATTATTGTTATTTAATCCTTATTTTATTATTTTATCTCCTAATACTCTGGTTCATTTTTCGAGAAAAACAAAAAACCAAACATATTATCACATGACATCATGTCCTGTTTTACATGAAAACATAACAGCTTCATGATGATTTAAATATATTTTTTATATCAAATGTGAAAATGTGAAAAAAACATTCAGTTATAATTTATATAGAGAGAGATTTTAAACTCTATCCTCACTGCTGTATCATAACAAATCCTTATAACTACCATAATGATCAGTATTAACTAAGCATTAACAGTTAAAACACAAAACAAAAATGGCTGCTCAGGTGGATCTTATGAGCTCAGCTTTCATTTCAGTCTTACTGCCCACTCGAAGTGTTTCTAACCACAAATCAGATTTTTTTTATTTTATTTTATTATTTTTATTTTATTTATTTCAGCCTGTAAACATCCACAGCAAACATCCACTCCCACTGAGATCTGCTCCATGATAAATGTGAGAGAAACTAAACACTGATGACAGTTTAACTGTGTCCCTCCTGCAGATGGAGCTCAACATCAACTAATAACACAGATGTTACTGTAAACATTTATCTGCTCAGTTTGGAAACACAGAGACTCTGAAACTGTTTCAGGATTGTGCTGCTGGAGAAACAAAGCAGAACTCTTCACTGTGGACATGAAAATGGAAACTACTGTTTATGGTTTGATCAGGATTTTCACTTCCACTTATGTGAACTGAGGGAGTTCACTGTTTCCTCTTACATGCATGATTGCTGAGGTCTTTAGTTAAAGGAAGTTAAGTGTAGCTACTCGTCGTCACGGGAAACTTGCTATGCTTTTTTAAACTAAAGAAATAAATCCTTTATAAATTACATGTGAACATTAAAAAAGTCACACTGGAAATATTCAACAAATGAAACTGAATCAATACTTAAAACCTACTCATCAGTTAATTATAGTTATTTAACAAATAACCTTTAACAAAATCCAAGCTGAGAATAAAATTCCACAGAGAAACAGAGTGAAACCAGTCCATGATGACTGCTCAGATGATGGACGAGAACGAGCCCACAGTCTGAAGCCTGAAGTCAGTACACGTCTCCTCTTCACAATCAGCCTGCAGACAGTTAATCACTCCATGAAATCTCAACACACAGATGTAAACCTCAAATTTCTAGAAATATTTTTGAAAATAAAATTCACTGTCAGTGTTAAACAGAATTAAGTTGCTCCTAAAAGTGCAGAACTTGCCTGAGAAACATCAGGCAACAGTTTTCAGCTCCTTTTAGCTCCGTTTAAGTGATTCGCTGACAGCTGTCGTCACTGACACATCAAACAGCAAAGAAGAAATGTTCACAGTGAATTTAATTAATTTACCAACATGTGATTAAATCTAGTTGCTCAGCTGTGATAGTCTATAATCTACACAGCTGCTAATGTGACTGAGAGTGATTCTAAATAAAAGCTGTTTACCTTGAAAGCAGAAGAGCGAGTTTAAGGACACGACACAGATCAGTACAAGAACATAATGACTGTAGGACGGAGCTTTGACTCTGGTACCAACCTGCAGTTTGTTGTTGAACTGCTCCACCCACATTACTGCAACTGGGATTTTGGTGGTTTGAATGTGAGA